AGTTTTGTCAACTCCAAGACTAACGCTGAGCCTCCATCCTTAAACGCCGATGGGAACAGCCCATCTGGGCCAGAGGCCTTATTCCTTTTGAGATAATTTATTTCCCGAGATACCTTCATTTCAGATGGAGGACTAGCATCAACTGGGAGCATTTGTCCAGTCGAGGCGGAGAGTGAAAGATAAGGTGTCGATGGGGGGCAGTTGAACTGAGCCTTGAAATGTTCAGCCCAACGATCAAGACGGTGTTGCTGATCGTGAATCAGTGTGCCATCGGATTCCTAAATTACCTCACTTACGCCTATTTTCCTAGGACCCGTATTCCTAATTAGGTGGAAAAGGTTACGACTATTACCAATAGCTGCACGCGCTGTGTCGTATGTGGCATCCGGAGGAAGGGTTCTGCGGGCTTCCAGCAGGGCAACCGAGGTCGACGATACCCATCGTTTGTGTTTTGAGCTTGTGGCAGGGACCGACGTTGTTTTCATCGATATCTGCATAGCATCCTTGATTTGCTTCCAGTGTTCATTGAGTCCTTCGGCTGGCGGTTGAACTGATGCCCTACGATTACCACTGCGGCTTTTGTTCTTCGGAACTTGCCTCGACAGTTCCTCTTCCTGCAACTTTTACCCGCCCCTCCCGCACACAGGAATTTAGTCATCCTTATCACATTTCTGTTCCCAGATGTCGTACCTCTCTGACACAATCTTCTTTTTAACCCGAACTGCCAAACTGTGAAACACCCTCCCACTTGCTGTTTTTCCCCCGACTTACAATCTTGCACTTTTCAAATGCAAAATCAATAAACTGGATCTAACGTAAATGTTGCCCTACTCTCCCTTTTACAGTATGCTATTTGTCAATGGGGATTTCCCCTTTTACTGTAATTCACATTGTTATAAATAAATAAAATGTATGTGCACATGAGAGATGAGAGAGAACTTACCATCGTTAACTTCGGCACAAGTGCCTTTGATCTGATTGAAATACCAACCCTGGTCTTGTAACCGCGGCTCTGCTGGAAAACGAATAACAGTTCTAAATCAGAAACAGTGATTTCCAATGGATGAATTTATACCAGGTCAATGGAAAAGTGTAAAATGTCTTGTGCACAGGCATTTCGATAGCATTTTCCAATGATAAACTGAATGATGTGGGGGAAAATCGTTCGCATTTAGCCCCGGATGTGCGCTCTGCTTTGTTGATTAAAAATTAGAAGACAACACGAGCGGAAATACCAGTCAACAAGCGGTCGGGCTCAGTACATATGACAGATGACGCAGTGTAGGATCGATAAGAGCTATTTATTTCCCTGATTCCCAGTAATCTCACCAAACCCCCACCCACCCATCGTTTATGGGCCAAACTTTCTGCCCCTCAATACATATATGTTCTTTATGTATTACTTTCGATCCCATTCGTGTATGCTTGGTTTACTTAACCAACCTCATTAAACGGAAATGTTTATTTCACTTCAGATCAACCATATCCCAATTTAGAGTGTATCTATATACCCTCGGGTTAAGCAGATTATTGGTTCTCCACTAATCTTCTCAGTCTCCCGTCTATCTAGGTTTCCGAAAACCTTAAAGACCAATGACTGATAGTTGATACCCTCGGGTTAAGCAGAGGTGAATGCCACCAGGCGCGTCCTCACGCTGTGGATAGGTCGATACCTTCACCGAAGAAGGGGTTAGCTGTGAATAAGTTGTGGCATAGCGCAACAAATAAGCAGTCGCGAACAAACAGCGGCTGCACTACCGGGGTGTGGTGGGTTTCAGGCTGGTCATCTGGCTCCTGTTTAAAAGCCACAAACCCAATGACGGTGTCGTGACAAAGATCGATGTGAACGGCCTTTCAAAACTAGTCATTGACCCCCTCACTTCCTGCTGTTTTGCAGTTCGCACTCGGTTGTGAAAAGGCTAGAGGTGCACCCTCAAAATAAAAAACGTCGAGTGACGATGAGGACGTCTCTCGATGGGGGACGTCTCTATCCTTGGAAAGGATAAACCGGAGTCAGCCAAAGTAAAGTAATATATATATATATATATATATACCACCAATCTTTACAGATACGGTGCTAAAATAATCATGGGTTTAACGCAGAACAGGAGGAAAACTAAAACAGCCAACTTGGGGAGCAACAAATTGTTTGTTTACTGAACCGAAACAAGACAGGATATCAAGCGGTTGGCTTGAAAATTAAATTCCAGGCAAAGAATTGTGAGTTCAAAGTGATTACCACAATACAGCATACAAATGTAACCATTTGCGACGTGTTTATTTCAGAACTGCGGTTATCAACCGTATGCGAGAAGCTTCTCACAAGCCATGAGTTGGATTTCGATGAGGCACCAGAGCAAGTTATATTGCTTGAACTTTTTTTTTACAAACAAACACGGTAATAGATCAACAAGCAAATATTCC